TGACGGAGTGAGGAATGTTACGTCTTCGTCCCGCAGTTCTCTAGTTTGTACCAGAACAGAACATTTGTTTTATATGTTATTTTAAGTCCCTTCATCTATTCTGTCTAGTCGTTTTTATCCGTTATTTGTCGATATTATGAGATTCCTGTTTTGCAGTGGCCACGTAACTCAAGACGCTCCAATTTCGGGCTCTCCGCTCTACATTCTCAAAGCTTTCTTGCCGGTCATTGACTCTTTTGGCTTTGAGACCGACCTTCGCACACACTCCCAAGGACAGGCATTCTGTCTGTCTGTCTTTCATCACTGGCAGATGGTGACGGGCGATCCACTGGACCGCTCTATCCAAATTGAACCTCTAATAGCTCAGCCTGCAACACATTTAGCCAGAGAATTTATGATCAAGACTCGAAGGAGAAAGGTATGTCTTTAGATACATCCCTTTGCACTTTTAGTGCGGAGCTTGTTAGCACACTACTTCGCACTTATGTATTTTGTGTCCGAATCTGCATAACCCCCCACATAAATGGTTCAACTCTTGCCTTTGCAGGGTCTCAATGAGGATGTGAGCATCAACAAGTTCTTCGACGATCCTATGCTACTGGAATTGGCCAAGCAGGATGTCATGTTGAACTACGCCTTGTAGTTTTTATATTCGACCTGTAATACACCACCTTTTACACTTTTCAGAATCCGACTTAGACTTCAATTCGATTAGACCACAGGCTTAGGTATGGGCCCTTGCAATAAGTCGTCATACTTATTAACGGGGTAACGTAATCCTTCCGTTTTACAGCATGATATTTTTACGGAAAACTCAGAATTATTTAAAGGACTACCCTAACGATACGGACCCCTTGAAATCGCGAGGATGATATTGTGTGGGATATAAATTACTCTTTTTGCTCCATTTATTTGCTCGAGGCTATCCTACTAACCTGTATCCATCGCCGAATGTTTCGGAGTGTCTTAACCGAAAATGGACAGATGATGGTTAATGGTGATATGGTTTATCACCGGCACGCGGTAGCCGCGGCGACATATTGTTCTGGAGCAGTCTTCCAAATGGTTACTTATTGGAAGAGTAAACCGCTGCAGGGGCAGTATGCATCAAGTACATCGTGATTTACGGTTGTAGTCCTTCTGCAGGCAGTAGAGGTCCTTCGAAACCTTGACCGCGAGTTTTTTGCGCATAGATGATCCTGAATATTAATGATTTAAGTGAGCA